GAGAAAACAAACAAACTGGAGAACCATTAAGGGAATCGCTTTCTCCGTTGCATGACATGCCCGCTCACATCACGACCCGCACACACACACACACACACACACACACACACACACCTCAGTCCACCGCGTCCAGGCAGCAGATGTGGGCGTTGAATGACGCGCTCGTAAACGACAAGGTTCCGTAAAGGAGTCGGGTCTCGTTAATACACCCTCCTGTGCTCACCCCGCGTTGCTGACACGCCACACAGACGGATCAGCGGGACGCAAGCGACAAACGATCTGATATGGGAAGTGAAAATGTGACGGGCCGGGGGCGGGGATCCTGTCAGGGCTCCAGGGGACGGGGAGAGATGCTCCCACGACCAGATGATAGAAACACTGTCGGACCACGGATCAGGAGAGGGGGGTGCAATGTGTAGAGCAGTGGTTCTCAACCTTTTATTCATTGGTTTATTAAACTGTCAACACTGAAGGTTGCATTGTTGCAGTGAACTGAGAGTCTTTGTCATCGTTTCTAGGAGAATGCAATTGAATCGCCTAATGAATATAACATTTCCTTGATTAAGTCTTTTTTAATTGGATATTTATTCAACTATTTTTAAAGGATTTTTGAATGGATGCTAATTTTAAATATGTAATTTTTAAAAATCTGACTTACCCCAAGGGGTACACGCACCCCCGCTTGAGAACCCATGGTGGAGACTTAAGTAAGACCCCTACCTCCGTCGACCGATGACGATTCCTGGCGTCTTCTGCGGGCCGAGACATCGAACGTCAGAAGCAAGTCGGGCCTTCCTTCCTTTTGACCGCGACTGCGTTTTTTTCTTAACTGACTTTATGTATCTCCGAAAATGAATCCTAATTACTGTAAATGTACTATTTTTATCAATGACTCACCAATATCACTCTGACAGAGAATCGCGGTTGGAAACTGATTTTGCAATTAGTATTCACACAGCGGCGCCAGCGTCTGTAAACACTGACTGCTGTCTTGCCAAATCTGCTTTTTAAATATGCATGAGCAGAAGCTGCTGCCAAGTCAGCTGCGAGTGAGGTAACTCTGCTGCTTCCTGGTGAAAGCACTTCTGAATGGTACTCTAGGAGACCCGCGCCCGTGCATTGATAGTGTAGCGTGGGGTAATTAGGCCAGGGTGCGTGGAGCTGGAGGGGGGGGGGGGAGCATGTTGCACGGGATGGCTACGGGAATCACTCCACCTCTAGTGTGTTCCAGGCATCTTATTGAAAGTGAAGTGGAGTATTTATGTTATTTTCAGTGTCGAAACGCGACTGAAAAGTTTGAACGCTTTGTCAAAACATTTACAGCCGCTTAGCTTAGCTTAGCTTAGCTTAATTTCATTGAACTTTTCTAACAAAGCTTTAGAAGTTTATAAGACCTTTTGGGGTTTTCTTGTGGGTTCTAACCATCGGAGACTCCAGGAATTCATGCACCCAGGACTTTTTTGTGCAATACGTACCACAACACATATGTCTCAATACCTCAGTATGCAGGCACTTTGTTTCTCTAAATAACGCACCAAACAAGTCTGCATACAACTGCAATACCCTGGTTATTTTTTGTCGTGTCGTATCTTGCCCCAGGATCTGCCAAAAGCCAGAAATATGAAAAGTGAAATATTGTAAAAAACTCAAAATAAGTGGCAAACCTGCCACTCACGGCCAGAATGGACCATTGGAAATGATGGCGTAGATCATGTGCAGGGGGCCGGTGACAGCCATGCAGAATAACAATGTGGAAATAAGCAATCGCCTCGTTCACTCACAGCATGTCACGTATGACATCAAGGCTGTTTCATAACCAGTTACTAGTCCCCGCATTAACTTAAAGCGATGAAAGGGGGGAGAGAGGCCGCTTGTCGAGGTCCATCAAGTCAGCGGACACCTTCCCTCAGGAAGAAGGGGGCTCAGTGATTTGACTCATAGTTCAGGAGCAAGTCAGTGTGTCTCCGTCACTGCAGAGGAAAGCTGAAGCAGCAGCAGCGCTCGGGCCTTTCTTTCCAACAAGCGGCCGTGAGCCCCCGTCAGCAGGGTGTAGTTAATTCGCACGGCATGGCCTGGCACTGACCAGCGCATCCTGTGACGGTCTGGACTCATTCAGATCATCCGTAAATCTGGCGTCGCTCTGAGGGGATTCGGCGTGCCAGGTCATACATCGCGTGCGGTCTCGCTGAAGTGCGGCCCGCCTCCTGTCAGCCCTGATGTGGCGGCGTGGAAAACAACCGCAGAAAAAGAGCGGCTAGGTGTAAGAAATAGGGTTGGTGAACAAATTCAGCTTAGCAACATGCCATTGTGTCTTTGTTTCACCACGAGTCCAACAGCGCTCACACCATCAGGCTGAATTCCCCAAACATTTGTGTGCTTCCAGCTGCTGAAACGTGGCGATCGGCTGCTTCTCTGGTCCTGCAGCACATTGTAGGGAACTGAACATGATTTGTATAACATATTCAGACTAATTGAATCCAAACGTTGCCGCCCTGATTCTTATGTGTTTAAAATAATCAGATAGTGTTTTTTTCTGTGATATTTGTTTACCGGCTGTCTACCCTCAGATATTCTCATTTCATCCAATGAAGTTCAAAGCTTAGTCAGCTAGAAATGAGTGTCCTAAGTTGTCCCTCTCTATTGACGTTTCCTTAGTCTCTGTCCCTCACACCCGCCCCCCCCCCCTCAGCGGGCCGCTGTGTCAAACGGCGAGGAGCCGGACGGACCGCGCGGGGCAACGCCAGATCATGATATCACTTATTAGCAAAAAGCTAACGGCTCGCAGCGAGGAGAGGGGGGGGGGGGGGGGCACAATTGACGCAAACGCACTTCCACTCGCCCCTTCGGTTCAGCAAGGGGGCCGCCTGACCTAAATTCACTTCACCTCATCTGCCTAGACATTTGTTTAGCCTTCTGGGCCAAACACTTAGAGAAATGTATGAGGGAGAGAGCGGAGGGATGGGAGGGGAAAAAAAAGAATACATATGCTTGAATACATCACATTTAGTCTAAGGGGGGGGGGGAGCCGGGCATCGGCTGACATATACAGCCCTCTAGTGGCAAAGTGCAGAGGACCTGGATGTGTGACAGAGAGGACATGATGTGATTTACGCCGATTATCCCGAAAGCGTCAGTGGAGGTTGAGCCCCAAACACAGACCCCGTGTGCACTTTGTGTTTGGACGTCAGCTTGTGTAACAGGCCTCGCTAAATGTCACCTCGCACCAAATGGAAGACGGCAGCAGCGGATAAAGTATCAACAACAACAACGACGACGCGGGCTGAGCAGAATGAGTAGAAATTGAGGTCATAGAATCTCACCGTCGGGGAGAGAAAGAGAGAAATGATTTTTTTGTCTTTTGAGCACTGTACTCATTACAATGGCCCGGAGGAACTGTGAGCCGTGCAATCATATGCTCTAGTTAAGCTAAACAAGGGCAAGGTATTCCCACGTGAAGGGCAGATGAGAATAAGTAAGTGGGGATGCAGACAAAGGAGGCAAAGTGGAGGACGGTTTAGTGCTACTTGGCCCCGGCATCTTACTCACATTATCCGGTCTGTCTCCACTTCTATCTCTTTCTTTGTCTCTATTTCTATCCCTCTCTCTCTCTCCACCTCTAGCTCTCTCTGCCTCGGCGTGCGTGAGACAAACCCCGCGGGGTCGGTGCAGCGAGCTCATTAAAGGCTTCATTCCACTTCCAGGATCGAGCGGGATTGCAATGTGGACATTGTTTATACACAAAGGTTCCCCTGGGATTAAGTTTTTTTTTTATTTCTGCCTTGGAGGGGGGTGGGGGGGGGGAGGGGAAAAAGAGAGCGACAAATAAGATCGCGTGGCCTGTCTTGTCTGCACACATTGCTTTTCATGAAATAATGCCTCAAGTGCTTTTAAGAAGTGGCCTTTTCCTTTTTTCAAAACCACCTTTTCCCACCACGGTGTCAGACATCAGCCTTTCCTTCCCCCACACACACACACACACACACACACACACACACACACACACACACACGTTCTTTGCGCTGTAGTTTGTTTGAACCCCCCTTTTGCTCATTAGCGTGCAAACTACAAATGTCACCGCACGTGCCCGCCATGCGGCCCGGGGGGGAGAGAGAGAGAGAGTCCACCTCGGGCCGAGCGGCTTGCAGAGGTGTCGTCTTAAACGGCGGGGGGCCCCGGCGGTGCGTCCGGGAGGCAGGCGATGACGCGGCCCGGTGTTGCTACACACCCCGAGCTTTGTTTGGAAACACTGAGGCAGCTCGCTACTACGGAATGAGCCAATTGGAGCAGCTGAACCGTGCACCCTTTAGCCCAGCCAAGCGCAGCGCAAAGGAGGGGGGAGGCGGCGGGGGGAGATTCAGAGATCCAGGAAATGCCTGAGCAAGAAGCAGGGGGCCCGTCAGCCCTCAGACGGCCACATCGGGCCGCACATTGATCCCCTGCATGATATATCCATCCCTGGTAATTGCATTGCTGTTTAGAGAGGCGGTCGTTATTTCTGAAATATTGAAATAACAAATGGCGTCTCCTGGCAGATATTAAAAAGAGAGATGCCACAGATGAGTCAGAGGCGGGCGGGCGCCACGTCCCCCCTCCCCCCCCCGGGCCACTTGCCCAGTCGCCTTGGCTGCAGAAAACCTGCAGTCATCACAAAATGGAGATATTTACTGCTCGCACTCTTGCATACGGGAGGATGAAGTGCCGGTGAGGAGGGGAGGGGGGGAGGGGGGGGTGAAATATGACTGTGTTTGTGTTTGGATGCGAGCACTGATTCCGTCAGCTTCAGAGGCAAAAAGGTCCTGCGTGGGGATTTATTTGTCACACGGTTGCAAGGTCGGCAACGCGAGGAATGAAGAAAAAAAGTAAATATGCACGGAATCTTTTCTTAATTTGTCACGCTGGTTGAAATCTGGTAGCAGACGAGGGCTCAAAGGCCCGTATGAAACGGCCGATGGTCGGGTTTGTTGTGTAACCATGTGGGTTTGTGTGTTTGGTGTCTGCAGAACACCCTGGAGAGCTGCACCATCTGCAGTAAGCCCATCATGGAGCGCATCCTGCGGGCCACGGGGAAAGCCTACCACCCCCACTGCTTCACCTGCGTGGTGTGCCACCGCAGCCTGGACGGCATCCCTTTCACCGTGGACGCCTCCAACCACATCCACTGCATCGAGGACTTCCACAAGTAGGTCAAAGATCAAAGTGAGCGTGTAATGACCACTGACAGGAACTGATGCTGCTCTGCTGCAATGGACACTCACGGCCACTTGATTAGGGACACCTTGCTAGTAAAGAGGTTGGACCTAAACAAGGTTCCTCCTATCTGGTGACGGGAGTTCAGTGAACTCATTGTCGTGTCCAAGAAACCAGTTTGAGATGATATGAGCTTTGTGACATCATCATGCTGGAAGTGGCCATCAGAAGATGGTACACTGTGGTCATAAAGGGATGGACATGGTCAGTAACAACACTCAGGTAGGCTGCAGCATTTGAATGATGCTCAATTGATACCAAGGGGCCCAAAGTGTGCCAAGAAAATAGCCCCCCCCCCCACCATCAGCCACCTTCTCCCCCCACCTACACCACCAGCAGATTGAAGCGTTGACACAAGGCCGGATGGATCCATGCATTCATGTTGTTTACTCCAACCATCTGAATGGCTCAGACCAGACCGTGTTTTGAATCTTCTACTGTCCCTTTGTGGTGAGCCTGTGTGAGCTGTAGGCCCAGTTTCCTGTTGCTAGCAGACAGGAGTGCCCCCCCCCCCCCCGGAGTGGTGGTCTGCTGCTGTAGCCCGTCTTCTTCAAGGTTCCTCGTGTTGCGCGTTCAGAGACGGTGTTCTTCATTCCTTAAGTTGTAACGAGTGGTTCTTTGAGTTCCTGCTGCCTTTCTATCATCTCCAACCGGTCTGTCCATTCTCCTCTGACCTCTCACACCGACAAGGCATTTTCGTCCACACACCTTTTTGGAGCATCGTCTATAAACCCTGGAGATGGTTGTGCGTGAGAATCCCAGTAGATCACCAGTCTGTGACGTACTCCGACCAGCCCGTCTGGCACCAACAACCACGTTCAGAGACACTTAAATCCCCTTTCTTCCCCGTTCTGATGATCGGCTTAGGTTGTCTTGACCTTGTCTACATGCCTAATTGCATTTAGATGCAGACATGTGATTGGCTGAACACCAATTTGTGTTAACAAGCAATTGCACAGGTGCACCTAATGAAGTGGCCAGTGTATTTGTGTGAGGGACAGAGTGTATTTAAGCCTGAGCTTAGTCCTTCCTTCTGGGGGGAATGTTGTGGGCGATGTCACAAGCTCAATGACCGCATGAGAAGTGTCGGCAGACATAAATCTAATATTAACTTTCTGACATTGTGTCACACTCCACCGATTGCGTAATCGCCACCTTACCCGAAATGTCCCTCTGCTCAGTGACCAGAAGGGAAGCGGAAGTAAACAGCCGGGTTCTCGGCGTGAGCGCACAGCTTTTAGCCGCACCAGGCTTCTGTTTAATTCCACATGACAAGTGTGACCCGAACAGCCCTTTGTGTCGAGGAACGCGGAGGCCCGGGGCCCGGAGCTTCCTCCCTGGCTGATACCGGGCAGGCCGCGGTTCCCCAAAAGCCGCTTCCCGTTTCCCAGGCGCTGGTTATTATCACAGATACCTGACGGGACCTGAAATCTTGTGGGTGCTTTTCACATCCTCTGCGTCCCCGTCGTTGGACAGACGCGTTGCTGCTCGAGGCATTTCCACGGTTGCTGATTTGAAAGTGTTACTGTGAGAGTTAGTTTTGATATCTGAAGTCCCACTATGTTTAGCTTTTTCCTCAAATACTATAACATATTTATATGAAATATTTCGAGGACGGGGACATTTTTAGTGCTTTTAGTGCCACCTCGACGGTCGAGTGAATAAATAATTAAAACAAAAGAAATAATGCACAAGCTGCACCTTTGCCTTTAATTCACTGTGTCATTAAGTGAGGGCAGTGTTGGTGAAGATCCCGACACAGTTTGAAAGATTGAACATCGGGGTTACATGACCAATCTGAGAAGTTATTATCTTGGAGCAAAGCAGACAAGAGAATGTTTTTTTCTTTGCCCTATTTTTCTCAATAAATCCTCCAAATCCTTAATTATAGGGATTTGCGGTTTTATTTTTATGAGGCATATGCTTTTGGCCAGAGGAGTCAAGACCTCTGAACACAGCATTTTATGAAAAGAAAAGGATTTCAAGCTGCGTCACAACACTTGCTGCTGTTCGGAGCTGATTTCTGTCCTTTGATTCTGTTCCGCAGGAAGTTTGCTCCGCGCTGCTGCGTGTGCTCTGAGCCCATAATGCCGGCGCCGGGCCAAGAGGAGACCGTCCGCATCGTGGCCCTGGACCGCGACTTCCACGTTCAGTGTTACCGCTGCGAGGTATGCTCTCCATGTGTTCATCTCCTCCGCTATGTTGCAGCCCATATGGCACCAAGGCCCATCGCGCGCACACCCAGTCATCCTCATTTTACCTGCCTGGAAATAGCTCTCCATCCCACCTCTGCAAAGTTCATAGACTTACATAGTAACCCATCTGTCAGCCGCTCGCCGGCTGATAAAAGCGCCGCTGAGGAGGTGCGTGCGCGGGCCAGAAGGAGAGCGGTAACGTGTCAGGCTGTCACAGAGAAGACATAAAGGTCAAAGGAAAGCAAAGCAGATTAGTTCAGCTGAAGGGGGCTCAAGAAGAGAAGATACTTTGTCACCAGGGAGGCTTGAGTAGATGGAGTGCGTGTGTGTGTGTGATGAGAGTGTAACAAGACAAAAAAGCTATGTGTGTGTCTGTATTGTGTGTAATTGTTTGGTTGGGTGGCACAGTGTGGTGCAATCAGGGTTTTGCAGAGTGAAGCCTGGAGGAAGTTCTGAATACGAGAGCTCTTCTTCAGGCGTCAGTGAGCAGTCAGAGTACCGTCCTCACTCGCGCAGCGTTTTGGCCTCTCATTATTCACAAGTGAGACTCAATCTACTTTGGGACTGAATGCGTTTCATGCTTCTACCTAAAAGGGCTGAAGTCGAGGAAAAAGCTTCATACAAGAGCTGAAATAAGAGAGTATGTAGAATACATACAGACACGTATGTCTAATGTGAACGCTAAAGTCAACCCTGTGACTCGGACCTGGTCCTGGACGTCTGTGGACTGAACTGTGTGTGTGTGTGTGTGTGTGTGTGTGTGTGTGTGTGTGTGTGTGTGTGTGTGTGTGTGTGTGTGTGTGTGTGTGTGTGTGTGTGTGTGTGTGTGTGTGTCTGCAGGACTGCGGCTTTTTGCTTTCCGAGGGGGACAACCAGGGCTGCTACCCTCTGGACGGACACGTGTTCTGCAAGAACTGTAACACCAACCGCATCCAGGACCTCACCGCCAAGGCCACCACGGACCTTTGAGCGCCCGCCGCGCCGTCACCTCCACTGTGATACCCCCCCCCCCCTCTCTGTCTCTGTCTCGCAAACATACCAATCCACAGACGCTTGCATTCCTCACTATATATATCTATATATAGATATTCACTTCCAGTAAGAAAAGTGTCACTTTCACTTACACGTATGTATTGACTCGGTACAAACACGGCTGAAGAGGCTGTTTGTTTTTCTCTGCTGTTTAAAGGAACATTTTGGGAAACACTCTCTTCCGACTGAGAGTTAGACGATACTACTTTTTATCTTGTTTAAGAAGAAGATATATTATTTTAAAATGAGTACATTGTTCTGATTATCAGTGCGCTAAATATAAAGCTAAAATCAAAAGGTGGATAGCTTAGCTTAGCATAAAAACGTCATCCTGGCTTTGTTCAAAGTCTTTTTTTTATAAAAGTTGGCTTCTGGCAAAGAAATAGTAGGAATAGAAGTAAAAAGCAACATGTCACTTTTAAACTTTTAAAAGTTCTGTGACAAAGCTAGGCTAACGTTTACCAGTCTTTATGCTAAGCTAAAGTTCTGATGCTAAACTAAATATTGGTCTTCTCATCTAACTCTTTGTAAGAATGCAAATAATTGTTTTTCAAAATGCCTTAAATCACTCAATAATCCACCAGTTAACAGTTCCAACACACATCCCTCAGTATTATTATCTCAAATCACATCATCGTCAACCAACGTGTTCTTGTCATGTTTGTGCACATGCAAGCCCAATTGTTTGGGGTCCAAATGGAGTGTGACTCCACCAAAACATGTAACATGTTAAGCGCGCCTGCCCTGCTGGGTGTGTGTGTGTGTGTGTGTGTGTGTCTGCGTCAGTATTCAGTGTGGGGTGAGGAGCTTCTTCCTTAGTGTTTCATTCACAGACGGTACTCTGATAGGAATAACAGTTCTAAACAGCACCAAAGAATTGCATTTAAGCTGCCATACCTACTGCGTGCTGATCTGCATGCGGCCTATATAAACGTTCCATTCCATCGGTCGGGACCACAGGAAATCACAAAGTCTGATCCTCAGCAGGCAGCTGGTGAATGCAATTCCCTTTTTAGCAAAATGTTTCCTTTTGTACTTTCCTATGGAATTTGCTTCTATGCATACAATAGATAATGGCCTGAACATTATAACCACGGCTCCCCAGCCATCAGATACGGCTTAACGGTATTTCTGAGCACATAAACTCGTCCACGGTGACATAGCTTAGATTAATGACTGTAGTGTACGTCGACGGATTCGAGATGGCTATGCAATTTTTGATGTTGGTTGCATCGACACTTTATAAGAGGTTTCTAATGAAAAAGGAAATATTTGACCTGCACAGATTGGAGTCCTTATGGTGATCCTTTAATCAAAGACTCTGCTGTTGGTACTGTGTGACTTTGTGCGTCGCTGTGCTGATCATAATGAATTGTGACACTGATCTGTTATAATTACTGGGGGGGGATTTTAAGTCGAGTCTCTCAGAAAAATAACCTTTTTTTTATTTTTTATTTGTTCCATCCCAGAATGACAGCCAGTTGACCAGCATTTGGTTTGGTTTACTAGTCACTAGAGCCATACGATGTTGAGTTAACGGTACCCTGTGTAGTTTCTGGCCACTAGTGACCATTGAGTTTTTTAGGATTGGGTCCCTGAGGGAGAGGTGGGGATTCTCGTTGAATCTGATTGGCCAATAGGTTGCAAGCCAGCGGGGTCGTTAGTACCAGAACCGGCATCGCTAAAGGACCCGAAATTCAGATGGGAGTGGAGCGTCTGTGTCCTAGAGCCCTGTGTCATAATCTGTCCATGGCTGTACGCTTCTATACAAGCCAGCAAATAAGGATGTAAACGTCGTGCATTTCAAAATATACAAAGAATGTTTGTTTTTTTTGTCTTTGCGATGACTTTACTGGGGTACACGCTTTGTAAATCACTGTGCTTCTAAGCCTGCTAACGGATTCTGACATACTTTCTACACAGAAATAGTAAAGAATGTGTCTAAAGAAGTTTGTTTCATATTCCCTAAAAATGGAGTGAGCGCTGTGCACCGCTTCCCCTCCTCAAGGTTTCTGCTCATCGTGTCCTCAACAGTGTTTCCATCAATATTTTGAGCGCAGTTCGGTGGTCACATAGAAAAATCAACGCCAGGACTTTAACAACTCATTACCAAGTGCTCACTTATGCCAGGAACACATTCTACACTCATCTCCAGCTGTTTTTTTCGTTTTCGGCTAATATTCCTATTGCGTTGCTCTAAATAAGTCAAAATGTAGAGAGGCGAAAACACGTATTCCCCTGATTTGATCTCTAACAGAACATCACAGCGGCTACATGAGGAGACACTTAGATGATCTCGTGGCTTCGTCGAACAGCTGACTCAGACATCCAGCTGATCGGCTGGTTGTCAGGTGACATTTTGTCATACATCTGTTTGGCGTGCGGCTCCCGTCGGCCTTCTGTGAGAGGCCAATGAAGGGCCTTCGTGATCAGACGTTGGAGGTACAGCGTGAAGATTTCAAAGCGACTGAGTAGTGTTGTGTTACGATGCTCCTCCAGCGCCCCTTCCGCCCGGCAACATCCGCCGTGCCATCGGGCATGACCATTGCACAGCCGAACCATGCAGGCGTTCTCATGCACGCAGTGACATGTTTGTGTGAAAGTACGCAGTAGTTATACAAATTGTCTTCCAATCAACCGGTTTACAACAAAACAATGCATTTGATATAATGTGTAACTCAGCCAATCAGGTGGATTGCATTAGGCGGGCTGAATTAGCAGCTAGCTTGGGAACAAAGTTGAGCGCCTGTTATGTTGCACGTTGCCAAAGAGGCTTAAAATAGGAATTTTATCACTTTATTTAATATGGAAAACCTTTGTTTTAACTATAGGCTTTTTTTTTTTTGATTTTAACATATTAAAATGTGTTATCGTATCGGCTTATTAGCACGTGTTTTCTCGCAGACGTACCCTGGCAGTCTCAGTGGAACCTTCACGTGCTGTGAAAGCAGAATCAAACTCTCCTGTTTTTCTTTTAAAGGGCGGTTTGTGAACTTATCTTCTGTGACAGCTCACGGGTCAGGAAAGCCGAAGCCACCAGTTAACAAAGAGCCGAATGATTTTATTCCTTTTCTGTTTTTATTTGTCCAGTGTATTTGTGTTGTTGTCTTGTCCCACCCGTGTTTGTAAAAGTGCCTTTAAACGAGCGGCATCCAATGGCCGTAGAAACACGGCGCCAATCCACGCGGTGGAGACCTCCATCTGCCTTCAGAGGCGTCGAGGCCTTCAGCCCGTTGTTGTTCTCCCTTTCTTCAATAAAAGCTTTGCAACAGCACCTCGTGTCTGTGTCTGTCTTTAATCTTTGCCGGTGTTTTGTTGAATTCCACGAGAATTTCTGATACGTCGCTGGCCAACGCGAGACCTCTGGCTCCTTGTCCAGGTAATGAGCTCTCGCTCTCTCGTGCCGATGTGCTCAAACATCTGTGATTCATTTCCTCCCGTCTCACCAGTCCCCCTTTAAGGGTCAATTATCATCACCTGCTTAGTAGGAGTAATGCTCCACCTGATGGTCTACACATCTAGAACACCAATACACTTTTTTTCTCCCGATGTAGCTTCTTTTCTCCAGATTGTCGCCTGATTGGGACCTTTCCATTCGTCGCCTTTTACTCGTCAGCAGCGTGTCGCGCGAGCGTCTCCATTCCTTCGCTGACCCATGTGCTTGAAAATGCGAGACGGCAAAACGGCAGCAGCCGGTGATGTAGCACAGATATTGGCGTGCAGCCGAGGCCGTAGCTGACAGTAAAGCGCAGAGTTATATCACCAGCCTATTGCTCCTCCGGCCTCCGGCGTGAGCGGCCAACTGCGGCCGCGTGTTCAACCCCCCTACTCTCCTCTTCCTCGTGCACTCAACACTTTTTGGAATGCCAGTAACGTGGAGATATCCTCCCTTTTTTTTTTTTTTTCTTTCCTAAAACACGCTGGAGGCGGTACAGCGTGTGTGTGCGTGTGTGTGTGAGAGAGAGAGAGCAAGAAGCCCTCTGGGAGTTTAGCCGAGGACTTTGCTTTACTGCACATAAATCTGGTGTTTGCAAACAAATTGATGAGTGATGGGCCCTGCAGCCGACATCATGTACCCTCCAATTTCTTCTTCGGCGCAAAAAAACCCAGCACACGCTTCCATTTCAAATGAAGCCGTCACACGGTCAGATTTACATAACATTACAATGTGGGCCGACATCACAGCGCTCCCAGCTTAATGTTATTAGCTTTAAAGTGAATTCCCTCTACTGCATTTGCATCAAGAGCATTGATTTTTTTTTTTTTTTGGTGCGTCCTTGAGTTGGCTAAAGGCGGTGATGTAATCACAGAGTCAGTGTTGCTCTCGGTAGAACTTAAGACACTCTGAGAGACAAAGCCGTCCCCAATGTAGACGTTGTACGAAGCGGTTATCAGGCCCCCTTTTTCTTTCCCCTTCTGGCCTTGAGCGTCCCAGAGAGTTCAAGCGTGGCAGCAATCTTCATGACATTCTGCTTGTAGATATTTTCCATGTGAACATTTGAATGGACTAAATCCGTTGCTACATTTTCTGCAAGTAGTTTAACGTGAAGACAACTGTTGTTGTCCCATCACAGACTGAGAAAATCTTATACCAACCGTCTTAACTCCAGATGGTTATTCCTTTTGAACATTTCAGTAAATACACTAGACCAATGTTTATTTGCAGTGAAACCTGTAATAAAATGGTGGAATCCTTTACAAAGGAAAGAAAAACAGGACGTTCATGTTAAAGGTGAGTGAATATTCCTTTTGAGTCATGTATTACTTTTGCATGATAACGTATAAATTAGCTGGACGGTCTTACTATTCGGTATAAATGTTACCAGTTTAGTACAGAATCATTACAACCAGTCAACAAAATGCCGGCCATATTTTGAAGAGCAGGGTGCTTCTTTTTCCTTGGTAGTCCTTGACGGTGTGAGGGATGAACTGGACATCATGATGTTAGCATGCTGACTTTAGCATGTAGCACAAAGCGCCGCTGTGTCCTGTTACAGCTGCACCAGGCTGCTAGACTGCAGAAAACATCTGTGCGCTGCGTGTCCCACCACCCAATGGACCGCTGAGTGCGCTACCTTAAATGACTTCAGTGAACGTACCTTTTGCTCAGCTGAGCTGTCGCACACGGGTTCCTTGAAGTCCCAGAAAGTGTCAGCGAAGGGAGCGGCACACATGTGGTGCCCATTAGGAGCCTGTTCCACTCCACTGGTAGGAGATGTGCTTGCCAGTACAAAAGGAAAAACAACAACTCTCCCTTTCCTCCTCTCGGTTTTGAATGTGCCGACTAAATTTGAGGACACATTTTCTTGGCTTTCACTGTAGAATAATAACAGGAGGCTTCTCGCTTCCTGGACCGTTGCAGAAATGTGATCATCGTTTACAAAAGAATCAGCTGCAACTGTGGAGCCGCGTTGGGCCTGGTGACACACACTGCCACTTATCACTGCGTTGCAATCTGCAGAGATTAATAAATGGTGGTAATGTAATATGGGAGCGTGTCTTGGGGGGTAAACGTCTTTGGTTTAGCTGGGTGACACGCAGGGCGTCACAGTGCTCTTGCTAGTTACTGCAGTTCATTTGAGCCCAAAGCAACGCATCTTTCCAAAGTAATCCACCACAATACGACACATCAGCTTTCCACTCGGTCCAGAACATTTCCTTGAACGCTTTGCCAAAGGGCGTCCTCTCTCACAACCAAGATCAGTTCCTAATGGTAGCAGACATCAGTCCCCATACTGTTGTATTGCTTTCTAGTGGAAAGAGTCCAGCGGAGCTCTTCTCCCTGTCTGATTACAGACATTTAGTGAATGTTGGAGCGCTTCTGTCTCTCTCTCTATTCCCACAGTCAGCTCTCTCAGCCCACTGCTGGTTTTGGGGATTTCCTCTCCTCAGGCTTCCAGCCCTGGTGAGTGAGTCCATAGAGGCCATGTATTCACACAGTTAGGTAGAGCTGAACTGACTTCATCTCGCTGTGTAAACACAAAGCACACACGCAACGCACACCGTCGACCTTTGACTCCTCGCACCTCAGTTTGTGTTTTACACAGCACGAGGGGGATAATGCAGCGGGGTCCGGTTGCCCGTTGCCTCTCCCCTCATCCCACCCATCACTCACGCTTCGCGCCACAGTCTGACTGTCAGGTTCACACTGCACCCACGGCTGCTTTATATGCAGCACGGGGGAGGGGTTCAGATCCGGATAAACCCGCAGACTTTACTGACTTAGTGTAGGTGCGTCTCTCCAGCTCCACTGAAAGGTAAAGCAGTTCTCATGATTTAAGGCGCTCTTTGAGCTGTCACCCCTTGACCTAAGGGTAAGAGGCAGAGAGTCGTCCGTGGATTTAATGCAAAACCTTGTGTTTGGCTGTGAACTTTCATTCTCACACCAAAGCGGGCCGACTGATTAAGCCAGCCGAGGATATCGGTACGCGCGAAAACGGACACGGCTTTTTTTTTTTTTTTTGTTATTCTGGCAGTTGGTGGGTTTGTTGAGTGCGTCCAATTAAACCTGAACCTCCTCAGATGACATGCGACAGGTGTAGAGACACGTGTTTCCGTACAGGAATCCGTTATAGGGATGCGTGACGTTTGGGGGTTTTCTCGACACCGAACGATTGTGCCTTTTTTATTAAAAAGAACACACTAACCTTTGGTGCTGTGGTTTGCCAGATGTTTCCCGAATCCGTCCACATCTGCAACATCAACTCATGTTCCAAATGCGTTCATTTCCGTGGACTATAAAGTGGATGCCGAAAAACTAAACTGTCATAATCTATTGTCAATGTTGAGGTTTTAGTGGTCCTTTTATAACCCTTTATAACCACTTTAATACATTTAAATTCATACAACACTTTGCCTTTAGACAATTACTTCATATTTAAGCCATTGTCTAATATGTATAATTAATATGGTTACTATTGTTGTAATTTTATTATTTATTAGCCATCTTGCTAACTAGTTATCATTAATAACTAAATAGGAATATTTAAGGCATGTTGTTGGGGGGCGGCTTGTAATATAATTAAATCTGCTAACACCAATCAGAATCAGAACCATTTATTTGCCACGTATGTTAGAAAGGTGGTCCATACATTGGACAGTAAGACAAATCAATTTGGATGCTTACTTTCCTCGACTTGTTGAAATTCTAAATACAATTTTTTTTTAAATCCTAATACTTTGTGTTTTGAAATGAGCTACTCGGTTTTACCTCGTGCCCAGAGGTCTCCCTGGTTTGGAGGCACCTCTGAGAATATTCCGCTCAGTGACGTCGTCACCTTTCACATGACAGCGTTTTGGGAAAGATTTCATTTTCTCTTTTGTCCCCTTCAGAGGTTGTTGAATAATCTGTTATAATATTTAGCCCTTTTCACCCTGAGCTTCGATGAACTGTGATGCTCCACACGGGTCCACACCAGATGACGCCTCGTGATCACATCAGCAGCCATTTGTCTGCTTGAGTTTCTGAACATTACTTACTCTTAAACAAGATATCAAAATGTTTTCAAGCTTGACTCGAATGACCAAGCCGAGGCCTTTTTCTAACTACTGACGAACCATTTTTCCCTCTCAGCAGTGTTTGTCACGTGGATGGATTTAAACGTACAACCTACACAAAGGCTGGATTAGCTTGCTCGGACGCAGTCGTCTCTCCGCGCAGCGTTCAGCAGCAGGACCGATTAAGAATTAACAAGTGTAACTAACCGTCTTCGTGGATCCATCTGCTGTTTCCAGTAGGCTCAATAATGTGAACTTTTACTTAAGTAAATGTTTAAACCAATGAATGATTGAACAGCTTTGATGAGTGCGTAGTCATGGAAGTACCAGAGACACACTGTGTGTTTTTGCAGTATTAAACTCAAGGGTATGGGGGGGGCTGCATGGGGGGGGGGGCTGCCATCAGTAATTCACATTGTTTAATCCCAGGACACAGAATGATCTGATCACACAATAATTCCAGCCACAAATGCTATTAAAACTTAAAACCCGGATCCCTTGGACCCAGAACAAAGGCAGTGGAAACATGAGTGATAAATTATTCACATTCAGCGTGTGCCCCCCCCCCCTCCCCATCGCCGTGCTGCCCAGCCACTTCACACTAATCCAACTCTGAGAATTACTGGAGAAGAGACTTCAGATGCCTGAACTTGTGCACCTCTGCTCGGTTGTTGAGGATGTAAACGGCCTCACCTCGCACGCGAGGTGTGAAGCACTTCTTATAAAACCGACGTAGCTGTAACAGCTTCAACGGCAGAACGTGTTGTCTCCAGTCTT